AGGGGAATTCTCTGTTAAAGTTTGAAAGCATCCGTTGGATGTTTAGTTTTTTAAAATGCGGTTGACAACAAAGCCTTGTTTTAAATTATTTTATCTCAATGTTACAGTTTTAAAAAAATCGTTTGGTGACTCATCTGAAATGCATCAGCTTTTACCCCAACTTCCAGAAATCTCACAAAGTTGTTCACAAAATTCTATGAGATTTTTGTGAGTCACTTGCGATGGCTGTTTACTGAAATGATAAAGATTTGCCAATTGCATTTTGCAGTACAATTACAGCAGCTTAAATGCTGGAGCCAATTAAAGCAGCTGGTTTTGATCTGTGCTTTCTGATGCAAGGGACTTAAATGTTCCAAAAAACCCACAAAACCTAAGCCAGCACCATCAGTTGGAAGGTGAATGTGAAATGCATTTTAGCTCAGAGATTATTTGAACGTCTAAATTGCATTGTTGATGTAGAGGTCAATGGGAAGGCAATATCTTCCAGCCAAGAATGTTGCAGCCTAAACAGGATATGCTCAATACTTACAGTGAATTTAATGGCAATGACTTTAGCTCTTGCTCTGAGTGCTCTGAGATGCTACCCTGCGTGGAGGGCGCTATCTACATTGCTGTTGTTGCTCTACAGATTGCCACTTTAGTGCGATGTTGGGAGAGTCCTGAATTATTGGAGGTGCTTTCCTTTGAATGAGATGTTAAACTGAGGTCCCCTCTGCTTGTTTGGGTGGGCATTAATGATCCCCATGTCACTGTTTGAAAAGAGAAGGGATTATTGTGGACAACAATCTTGCAGTTAAATTGGTCATTCACTTCATAGCTGTTTATCCGGCACTGCTATGCACAAATTATCAACTTTGTTTGCTTACAAGTATAGTAACTACACCTATCATAAAACTCTGCATTTGAGATGTTTCACCCTGATAATGCACTATATAAGATGTTTATTATCAGAGGATACTGAAAGATCCATCTCTGAGATTCAGTGAATATTGTGCCACAGATTTTCCCACCATCGAGGTAAAGGCCACTGGTATATCAGTTGGAATTGACCTGTCAATGACCGGTCCTAGAAAGTAACAGCACAGAAATGCGCCATTTGGTGTGTCAAATCTGTGCTGGTCTTTTTTAAGACACCTAGTGGTGAAAAATCTGGCAAACAAACATTATATGTTGATGTGTTATTATCTCTGGTTCAGTGGTACCCAAATATTCCTGGAGAGGCATACATTTACCCCAGAAATTTGCAACAAGTGGGAGGTGGCACAGCTCAGGGTACTCTGTGACAGCCTAGTTGGGAGTTTTTCCAAGTTGTGTCACCTATCCACCATGCCAGGTTGGAAGAGCTATTCAAAATTGGAAACAAAATAATTTCCCTACCGACAGCTCAATTACAAGAAACATAATTGTAGTCAAACCTGCTGTTAATTATCAGCTCAGGTACACATCTTGTCGTACTTGTTTTGCCTGGTGCCCCTGATTCCAGCACATAGTTTGTTGTCCTCTGCAAATGTGAGTACCATCAATATAACCTGTTAGACTCCAAATGGAGTTAAAATCCAATATGGTGTTCATTTGGTTTCTGGAAATAAGTGAGGGAGAAACCTCGGGAGAAGTTTCAGGGAGAGGGATCTTGAGCTTTATTTACTGAAGAGGGAGAAATACAGTTATAAAGTAATTCATTTGATAAAACAATGCCTAATGTGAAACAGAACTGTATAGACCAGTACGGTACCAAGTTCAGTTGCCCAGTCAGTATTGAGTTGGTTAAGCTCGGACAGTGTGATCATTCTGGTTGAGGCTTAGCACTCATTCAATTCCACACTTAACATTTATGCTCTGGTTTTGGATAAAGGCAAAAGATCTGTTAGTGTCAGAAAATATCAGCAGTGGAAAGATCGCTGATTAGATATGATTTTTGACACGCGCTGAGGAATATCAGGGTTAGTCCACGACATTGCAGATAATCTTAAAGTACCAAAATGATTAATATGTTTGGCTATTAGCTTGCTCTAGGGGTGTATTGGTGCATTTGCAGCCATTTTCACGCGCACTCCCTTGTTGTGGATTACTTGATGAGAGCGGAGAAGGAAACAAAACGTGTTTTGGCTTTGCTAGTAGCTTGCATTCTGTTGTGACCTTTCGTTTCCTTAATCTGAATAATAACTACATGATTGTGGTGATGACAGAATCAGTACAACAGTACAGGACAAAGGGGACGCACATAGAGAACATCAACATGTTTTAACAAAAAATCTTTATTCACACGCTCTCTCTTTTTTCTCTCTCGCTCTCACATACACATGCACACACAATCTACCTCTTGTGTGAAAACCTAAAATGAGATTAATATTCATCAAATGTAATTAGCACAACTATAGTTAACATTTTGTTTAGAAACCTTTTAGAATTTATATCATTTCTGCCCTTGATTGGGAAATGTGCAGAGTTCATGGGAAATATTTTACATTAATAAACTGAGTGTTCTGTTATACAATAGCTCTCCAAACTACTTTTTTTAAACAAAAAAGACATTTATTTCCCATTTCCTTTTTCATTACAGAATGTTTTCTATTCATCTTAGTTTCTAGTCTTGCCCTTTAACTCTTGAAGTGTAAAGGTAATTGCAGAGAGAGATGTACTTTTGATGTTAACTTCGCTATTTTCCACAAAATACCAGTCAGCTGGTCTTTTTGAAGGGATAGATTGTGGTTCAAGGTAGGAATGAGTTTGAAAGCAATTCTGTGGGGCACATAAAAGGGTGACTATATTACACTAGCGTACTATTGTTTCCCCTCTGAGTTGTACCTTCTCTTTCATGGATAAATCCATTGTCTTGCTGCACTTTGGATGAAGGGTTTAAAGCTTATGTCAAATATGTTTTGATTTCTTTGGCTGGAGTCTAATCAATGCTGAGCTGTCTTAAATTAATTTTATCCTATTAAAGCTAAATGGGATCCCCAATTTAATACTATTGAAAGCTGATTAGAATTGAGCTTTTTATGTTGACTGGTTTGTATGCACGGCAAACACACAAGCAAGCCAATGATTGAACATGCATTCCACATACTGCTTCATCATTGGGGGCACTGTGTTGATGGTCTGCATTACATAAAGGTATTTGTTGATCTTTGGTCAGTCGATTTGCTTCCAATTATCCAAAAATCTGTGCATCGCCCTGGGACATCTTTCTGAAGTGAAGGGCACTATACAAGTATAATTTGTTGTTCTTGTTGTTCATATTTGTAGCAAGGCTCTTTTAACTGGCACAGTAAAGCAGGAGATGCAACATAAAGCTAAAGTGTGTCAGTCTGGCTCAGTGAGTCAACTCTCGCCTATGAGTCAGATGGTTGTGGCTTCAAGCCCCATGTGAGGACTTGGAGCTCGTATGGCGTAAGCTGGTATTCCAGTACAGTGATGGGGATGTGCTGCGTTGTTGAAGGTGTCGTCCTTCAGATGAATTGTTAAACAGAGGTCCCCAATCTGCCTTTGTGCTGAAGCTCTCACTTAAATTTTGGCTTAATGTCCAGATGCACAATAAAGATCTCATGGGACGCAAGAAGCAGAGGGAGTTTCTCCTGGTGTACTAGCCAACAATCCCAAATAAAATTGGTCATTCACCATGGCTGGTTGTGGGATATCGCTGTGCACAAATTACCCTCCCACATTCATCCACAAAATAGACACTCCACTTTACAGTATATCCTTTGACGCATTGAGGTGTCCTCCTGACATGCAAGCTGCATTGTCTATATATAATGTTTATTGGATGAAAACCTAGAATTTTTTTTAGTTTGGTTAATGGAATGGGTTTGTGTTTAGTATTGCTCAACTTAAAATATCAATCATTTTTACATAATCTCTTGCATATTAAAATGTAATTTCCGCTTACGTTGTCTACTAAATTTAATAAATCTTTAATGTGTATTACAAGTTACTGAACAGGAGTTAGATCTGCCTGTACCAGTCTAGCTCCTCTGCTGTCATTTACTTTATAAACAGGAAAATTGTTCTAATTTTCTTGAATCTCAAATCCCACGCACTGTTCACTTGCCTCCCACCTTCTGTCTGAGCATTAGTGATTCAAAAGGTGCTGACTATCTGATCAGAAGGTATTCAGTCAGTAAAATGTGAATGTCAGTATTGTGGGACCCAAAGGTGGCTTTGATTTTAAAATTGCCAATTTTTTACGTTGATTTGCAGATTCATAGTTATTATCAGTATATGTGTGGAGAACTAGTGCTGAAGATGATGTACACATGAAAATTCTGGGCTAAATGCAAATTCCAAAGCACCCTGGAACAACTCTATCCTGAAGCTGTATTTCAGTGTTGATTTACAGCCTATGTAAAACCTTACATTTAGAAATCGAGGCAACAATGTTCATAATAAAGATTCAAAATCACAAAACAACAACAAATTATATTTGTATAGCACCTTGCATGTCGGGAGGATGCCCCAAGTGGCCTATAAAATAATAATCCTTGCATTTGATATAGTGCCTTACCACGTCTTCGAGACTTGAATGATGAAAGAGGCCCTTTGGCCCACTTAATATTTTCCTTCCACAATACCTACCCTACAGTCTTTCCAATTACAGCATCTAACTGTTTCTTTAAAATGTCCAGTGTCCAGACCTCTACCACAATTCATTCCAGCCATTGGCAACTCTGTGTAATAACAAAAAAACTTCCCAGTGTCTGTCCCAGAAGTAACTTTCCTAAGCGTTAACCTATTTTCTTTTGTTCTGGAGTATGTGAAAGTATTTTATCCATGTGGAAAGCATTTTTATTTGTGTAGATTTATTTTATACACCTTGTAAAGTAATGCTACGCTAATTTTCCTGTGAATAATATGACCCTAGTGCTAATGGTACACACCTGCCTAGCTGTACTGTTATCTGTTTGTATTTAATGTCATTGCCTGACTGCATTTAGTTTTGAAACTATCTGTTTCAACTTTATATATATATAAAAAACGATCTGCTTCTCTTCCCCAAACAGATGAACCATGTGAAACAAACATTCTCTGACGTTAATAAAAAAACTCTTCTGATGTGTATTGGAATCACATCAGGGATTGGTCGGCTAATCTTCGGCAGGGTAGCTGACTATATACCTGGTTTGTATAAAGTTTACCTTCAGGTAAGCTTACATTTAATAATTTCATGATCACCTGATATGAAAAAAAGATTAAATGTTTGTGCTCATTGAGGAGAGAGATGTGGTTCTACGAATGAACCAATTTTTCACTTCCTACACCTATTAAGTCATATTATTAATAGCTTTTAATTATGCCAGTGCTGTTAGATGGCCAGGGGTAGAGGCAGCTGAAAGTTTCGGTCAACCTGCAAAGTGTTCAGTATGAATGTGAGCTAAAGCCTTGCATGGTTGTCTTGTCTCTTGGTGATGCAGATTGTAGGTTTGCTTCGATCAAGAAATGTAACGGTTCAGGTTCCTGCACTGACTTTTTTTTAAAAAGAACTTTTAGCATTGAATGGGTGAAATTGATTATTTTATTAATTGGAAGCATTGCAGTAACCTCTGAAACAGATGTTTTTTTAACAACTGCCTCTGTGCCAGCTGCACTCTGTGAAGCCACATCTTCAAAGTGGTCTTGCTATTGACACCAGCATTTTACTGCTTGTGAAACATAAATGTTATATAAATGCCTAAAGGTGTAAAACCAACTGGGATATACAACAGCAACAACTTGCATTTATATAGTGCCCTTAAAGTGGGGCAGCATCTTGGACTACTTAGCCTGATGCTGAGCCAATTTGTAGATGAGTGAGAGGATCTTGAAATCGATCCATTCAGTGATAGGGGCCAGTGGAGCCTGGCGCGGACTGGTGTAAAGGGGTTATGGAGTTTAGTGTTGGTGAGAATACGGGCGGCGGAGTTCTGAATCAGCTGTAGTTTGCGATTGTGCTGGGGAGACCGGCGAGCAGGTCATTTGAGTAGTTGGGGCAGGAAGTGACAAAGTCATTGTGCGCAGTTTTGGTCTCCTTATTTAAGGAAGGATGTACTTGCCTTGGAGGGGTGCAGCGTAGATTTACTAGGTTAGTACCAGGGCTGAAGGGGATGAGTTACGAGGATAGGCTGACCAATTTGGGCCTATATTCTCTAGAATATAGAAGAATTAGAGGGGTTCTTATAGAAACCTATAAGATCATCAAAGGGCATGATAGAGTAGATAGTGGGAGATTGCTTCCCCTGGTTGGAGAAACTAAAACCAGGGGTCACAACCTTAAAATCAGAGGCCAGCCCTTTCGCACTGAGTTGAGGAAGAACTTCTTCACTCAAAGGGTGGTGAATGTATGGAACTCACTACCCCAAAGGACTGTTGACGCTCAGTCCTTGAACATATTCAAGACTGAGATAGATAGATTTCTTATTGCAAAGGGGATTAAGGGATATGGGGATAAGGCAGGGTCAGGTTATTAGTTGGAGTTAGATTGAATGCTGGGGCAGGCTCGAAGGGCCGAATGGCCTATTCCTGCTCCTACATGTTATGTTATGAAAGCTACATTCTTGGAATTGCCTAAAAAATAGAAACTTTCAAAGATTTGAAGACCAATGTCTTTTACTTTTCATCTCCAGGTGTCCTCATTCGTCATGATTGGCCTGATGTCTATGATGATCCCATTATGCAAAAACTTTGGTGATCTTATTGCCGTCTGCCTTTTAATGGGTTTGTTTGACGGCTGCTTCATTTCCATCATGGCACCCATTGCCTTTGAGCTTGTAGGTGCAGAAAATGTATCTCAGGCAATAGGATTCCTTCTTGGATTGATGTCCATACCAATGACTGTTGGTCCACCAGTAGCAGGTATGATGCACTTATAATTGTCTTATGAATAATATGTATTAGATTATTTAGTGACAGTAATTATAATGTTGAAACTTGTAATGCTTTACAATACTTACTGCCAAGTATAGTGTCTGTTTTTGTAGGCAAACGAGAACCATAACTGGCTAATTTATCAGGATTATCGGCCAAGACACGGGGAAACATTGGAATAATGTCATTGGATCTTTTATCATTTACCTGAAGAATAGACAAGATTTAGGTTTTTTGCACCTTATTGAAAGAATGGTACCTTTACACACTTCAGCGCTATATACTTTGCAAGGATGGCAAATACCTTTAATCATCATATTGGAGTCCTAATAAAACAAACTCAATTTCTGTGTATTGAGCATTTACAATTTTGCGCTTGCACACACCAGCAAATTTGTGGCCTGTTTTTAGTCTTATTAAAAAGCCCATCATGTTATCAGTTCTACAACAAAGGCAAAATGTCAAATGGCCCAACAGCTTTTAACTAACTCAGGGAGTGAATCTGGTATGAAACACATTCTCTTCAAATGACCGCTAAAGGATGCTGTTGGGAACAGAACTTAGGGTGCATCCCTGGCAGTGAATTAAATGGACTGGTTGTAGCAATTCTAGTCTGTGTCCCACTAGTGAAGTAGTATTTATTTTTATATAGACATCCAGTTTGGCCTCATTCCATTGGAATAATTAGGAGTAATGTGCTGAGTGAATTGATTGATTGCACAATGCTGTGAATGGGATAAGCGGATGGGAACTGACATGAAAGAGATTATAACGCACAGTCACCACTACTTAAATTGAAGAAATGTAATTAACAGCAGATAACACCCAACTACAAAAGCTGAAAGGAACAAGATTAATGTTAGTGGGAAAGGGAGGAACTGAGACAATCTAATCTAATTCAATGACACTGATTCCTTACTGTGTATAGGAAATATAATCAATTCAGATAAAGAAGGGCTTTCGGTTCATTTTTGGCTCAACCATCCAGAATATCCACAACAACAAGCTTTTTTCTAAGAGTCCAGTGTCCCAGCCTTAAACAACCTTCCCGGTATCCTGTTAATTACCCGCTGGGAAAAGAGATATTTATGGTGTCCTGAAATTCATCTTTTGCAACCATATATCCACTTGTCCTCCTGTCTTGGTGCAGCAAAAATAATTTTTCTGTGTTCACGTTCTCAGTCATATTTTAAATGTTGCTATAAGCTCCCCTCTGAGAAGTCTTCTGTCAAACCTGGAGGGAATTCATGTGATCTTTAAAGAATTGAAATGAGCCAAAGGCAAATTCATTCTTCCCAAGGCCATTTTCATCGCTGAAGCCAAAGTGTTAAGCTTCTGGCAGGCTGGGGGGTGTTGCATTGTTGGAGGTTCCGTCCTTCAGATGAGACCTTAAATCAAGGTCCTGTCTGCCTGTTCAAGTGGATGTTAAAGATCCCATGGCATTATTTGAAAAGAGAAGGGAGTTTCTCCCGGTGTCCTGGCCAACAATCCCCCAAATAAAATTGTTTAATGGCTGTTTGTGGGACATTGCTGTGTGCAACTGTGCTGCTGCGCTTGCCTACAAATATATTCACTCCATTTCACTGTTCTCGAAAACTCTATCCTGTGTGAAGGGCACTGTATAAATGCAACTCGTTGTTGTTACATTGCTGGAGGTGCTGTCCTTCAGATTTTAAACCAAGGTCCCACCTGCCAGCATAAATGGATGTTAAAGATCCCGTGGCACATTTTAGAAAAGAAGGAAGTTTCTCACGTGTCTTGGCCAAGCATCCTCTAAATAAAAATGGTTACATGGCTGCTGTGTTTGCCTACAATTACAGTCATTGCACTTGACGCAATTGTTTGTGAAGTGCTTTGAGATGTTTCAATGTTATTGGCACTATAGCAAATGTTATATTACATATTATAAATATTATCCTCAAAGGCTAATTTCACATAAAGCAGATGGTAAAGAATGAAAGAAAAAAGCTTTGGATAAATGCATATTTATTTTAGAATTTGTTTCCTTTTCAATCCCATGAATCTGTCTCTTTCACGTAAAACAATTAGAAATCACAAATTTTATATAATTGTAAATTTGCATTTGATATAATTCCTTTCAAGTCAGGAGAATGTCTCAATGCTTCACAGTAGTTACTGTAAAATGTTGTGACTGGTTGTTGTAGTTAAAAAAGCAAATCTGATAGCCTATTCACATCAGAAATATGTTTGAATAGTACATTCAAATTAACTAGGAGAGTTCAAATATTACAGCTTTGCATTAATCCAGTCAGCAGATTTGCGTGTGTGCTGCATATGGCATGGAAGGAGTAAGCCATTTTATGCAGTAGATAATACGGTCAGAAATAATTCCAAGTTCAAAGCTATGCAAAGCAGTGTCATTAAGATCAATTTCTTGGGATAAGGGAACTCTAATCTAATCAACTGGTATAAATGAACTCATCTGGGGAATAATCTACAGTTAAAATTCTTTTGAACCAAAATAGATTGGAATCACTTTCTCTTAATTATGTTGTTGAAATATCTGTGTTCTGTCCTGATTGCTGTAATTTAATTCAAAATTAACATTTTTAAAAAAATGCAGAATATTACCAAAAATTTCTGAAAGTTGAAATAAACTATATTCATAGGGGTTGCACTTTTTTGTAAATGATTCTGAACATGGTCGAGGAGATTTGTCTGGCATGATTGTGCCTTCTAATTGAGCTGCTGTTTCTTGACTAGTTTTTTTTAAAAGTTAACCCAGCAGAAAAAGTTTTATGGATGATGCACAACTCTCAGTAATAGCTGTGCCTGAAATATCAATATTACAAGCCATCCTGGAGTATTCCGATTTTGCTAATATTACTTATGTTAATTGGTACATTATTGTTACGGTAAAATATTTTTGATTAAGAGGGTGAGAGTCTTCAGTGAGTATATTCTTGCAATCCAATTTAGCCTCATTGTGTGACCAATGTGAGTCCAATAAAATGTTTGCTTGCACGACACAGTCCTATAATTCTGTAGTGAAAATGCCATTGTAAGTATGGTACTTGCAGTTTTGGACATGTTTTGGACTTGATTGTAATAGGAATAACTAGTATGCGTATAATACGATGTGCTTCTTACCACAGTTTATTGCAGAAAGACTTAATAATATGGCTGATTTTTTGCTACGCGGTATAAAGTCATGAATATGAAGATTTCTCCACAGTACAGTGTATTTCATTATTACAACAACTTGCATAAATATATATAGCTCCCTTCACACGGGGTAGCATCTCCTAGTGCTTGACAATGGCTTAGTTTGATGTTGACCCGAGGACAAAGGGGAGGTGACTGTAGACACATGTCGAAGAGGAAAGTCTTCAGGTGCAATCTGAAGACAGGCAAGGCGGAGAGTTTAAGGCAGGGAGTTCTAGAAGGGTGAGGCACAATTGCTACAAGTATGGCTGCCAATGGTGAAGTGGAGGGGTTATGGTCGTGCAATTATTGAAAATGGGCAGCCTAGCCTTTAAATATAGTAACTCATTCCATGGTTTTGCTTTCACAGGTTTTCTACGCGACACTCTTGGTACATACGATCTTGCATTTTACCTCGCCGGTGTACCACCTATGATTGGAGGAATCATTCTTTGCTTCATCCCATGGATTCATTACAGAAAGCACAAGAAAGGGGAATTGGAGAAAAGTGAGGCAGGAGAAGTAGGGACCAAGATGCTGGATCATTCCATGAATGTTCTTGTTCCTGACATCAGTGAACCATACAAAGAGTGTGTTTCTAGTATTTAATATCAGATCCCTCCACAATGGACTGTGAAGACTTCAGGTTTTACAAATGATTCTATTTTATGAGTGAAACTTTTTATATGACATTTTAGGAATACAGATGTAGGAAAGTGAAAAACAAACGTTAAAATAATTGGAATTCTACCCAGAAAAGGTCTTTGTATCATGCTGCTTCTCTTATATGTCATGCCATTTCTTTACTAATCTTAGTTGAACTTCATAGCTCTGAAATTCGCTGCAAGCCTATAATCCAAGCTTGGTTTGTAATCATACCATCACAGACCTGGTTTAAATCTTTAACTACAAAAATTAGGATACCACGACACAACTGGGGAAAAAAATAGTTAAGACAATCCATATCTTTTTCCTTTTGGGGCGAGAACTTTTCAATGTATCTAGTTGCTCCAGTGCCATCTTAAGAGCTATGTTTAACTGACTCCTATGTTGCTTTTGCAGCTTTTGAAATCAGTATGTTTCTGTCATACAGTATCTATAAACGTATGCTTCATAAATTTTGGGTACTGAATATTTATAGNAAAAAATCAGTTAAAGGTACAGAACCGCAAAACATATTCTCAATCTTGGAAAAATTCAACAATACTAACTTTGTTTTCCAGTGCAAATGCATGACAGTGACGGATTCAACACTGGTCAACATATCAGGCCCATACTAATTAGTGTATACTTACTGTAGAAGGTGCATATTTGAGGCGGCTGGATTATAAAATTCAGCAGAACTGCATTACCACAAAAACTGCAGGCATGACTGATATTTTGTTCTGAAGGTTCTTGTAATCCACCCAATTCACAGTCGTCTCTTAGTTATACAGTATTTTTTTTACGTGTTGCAATTCTTTTTGTATATACCGTATGTAGGTTTTAAAATGCAAAAATATTATCCTCCAAAAATTGGAAAATTGTTGCCTGGTTCAGACACCTCAGCAAAATTGAAAAGACTAGAGGGGAAGGGCTTATTCTGGGGTTTGAGATTAGGTGATTTTTGTCTAGTTATTTTTTAATTACAAGTGGTATTTGTGACTTGTTCAGTGTAGACTGCTCTCTGCAATGGAATATGCCAATGATAAACCACTGCTGAAGCCAGCAGCATCATATGAAATGAAGCGCATTGTGGTACAGGTGCACTCTAAACCAGAACTGGAGAAGTATTAGTGTGTAGCAGATAAATATTGAGAGCGTTGTTAGCTTTGGTTTATCTTGCAACTAAAGCCATATTTAAAAAAAAATCTAACCAGACTAAGGGTGTGCAGACTTAAAAGATGAATTAGACATTTCATTAGAATCATTGCAAAGATGAGCATCACGTCTTCTGCAGTATCAAATACTTGCCATAGTTAAGTGATAGAAATTTGGTTTCTTTTGAGGAAGAATCGATAGACTTCTGGTAAGTTAAATGAAAGCTAAAAGTCTGATGGAAACGTTATGCATCATTTTTCTTTTCCTCACGAATTATATCTTAGCAATGATGTTGCGATTTTAACGGACCAGGTAACTTGCATTGTTGTAAACTTAAGCTTGTTGTAGTTAAATATAGCTATATATATCCCAGTCTTTACAGAGTGCACAGTTTAAAGACTACCTCATCTCTTATTTTGTATTGGCTTTTCTGCAAAAGTAAGCATTGAATTGGAGTAGTAGATTATGGTTGACAATGTACAACAAAATGTATTATGAATCAAGTCCTTTTAGCCTAATCAATCTGCTACCAGGCTGAACATTTAATACCAAATACATAGTCCAAAGGGGATTAATCTGACAATGACACAGTTGCACCAGGAGTATTATGCCAAATGGGTATTGTGAAGTCTGGTTGCTAAACACATTATTTTCGTAAAAGACATTTCCTGTACCTGAGGTACTAATGAAAAAATGTCTATCTGCGAATCTGCTTTAACTGCGATGCACGACAATCTCATAATGAGCCAGATGTTATTGCAGTCCTGATAATTCTTGGTCAGAACTGTTCAATTCCGAAGTCTACATACAAAGTTGCGTAAATAACTCCTAAATAAATAGATGACTGCCATCTATTACATTTGAATATTCCTACATCAATGTGTTGGTTCAGGAAACTGTAATAATCTATTGAATCCCTCAAAATTCTTTCATTAGGTTGTCTACAGTTCTTAAATTAACATTTTGTACTGATTATATTGGTCTATTAAATTGAAATACATTCCAATTCAGTCCCACTGGGTAATAGGAGAATACGGAACTAAAATTGGGAAACTGTTTTCATTCTTGATAGAAGTGGCTATATGGGCCATTGGCTATGAAAGCGATTTCCCATAATTTTACTTTGTAGTGCTGTCTATACTTGTGTGGGATACCAAAATGCCATGTACCCTTCAACTGAGGTATTCTGGCTCACTGTGTTTTTGATGTTCTTGAAGGTTTGTCAGATTGAGCCAGCACATCCCTTTCAAATAGTCTGGTGATTAGGCATAACTTACGTTATTTGAATCCATCAACTTTTCATTGGATGGATTCAAATCTCCAAATTGGCATAATTATTCCCTCCAAAATGTCACACTGGGGATTTTGGAGTCCCCTGCAGTATAATCATGTTCTTAGTTTTAAGCGTTCTCTGTAACTATTTGAATGAACAAGGCTGAAGCCACAATTAGTAATTCAAAAGAACCTCTGGTTTAACTGCTAATTTTTCTGAATCCAACAATCTTCAAAGAAGCCAAATCATCTGAAATTTCCCAGTTTACTCAGGTTTCCAGTTGTGGCCTGACCAGAGCATATGAAAAGTTGAGCAGGACCTCTGGAGCATGCAACCCAACATCCTTTTTGTTTTGTTACATTCGTCACGCTATTTGGGTATTGTGAACTAACCAGGTGTGTATACACTCCAAGTTAGCTGAGAAACCATTCAAGTTTGGTAACTAAATGGATTTGGGGCCTTTACACGTAAATTCCATTCTCCAGTTCAGTGTTTCCTTCTTTTTATAAAAAAAATTCTTCAGGTAGAAATTAAACAGGAGCCGAAAAGGTATCTTGGGGTGGGGCTTGGAAACATTACCCAGAGGTGCAATTCAGCGATGGGATGGTAAACTTCGACAGCGAAGGGAGGTGTCTATGTTTGTGCCATACTGTTATAAACTCTTTGAAACACAAACATGGGTTAAACAAGGCTGCATTCAGAACTAACATTTAATTCAGATGTAAATTCTGCAGCATGAAACATTTTTTTCTGAAGCCCACTCCATTTTTTTGACATTAAATGCAGCTTAAGACTTGGCCGATTCAATTCTATCATCGAGTATCTCTTTAATAAGTAGAAATCTGCAATCCTGCAATCTGAAACCATCCAATAAATGATGTAATAAGAATGTCACATAATGTGATGAAGCTACAGTATAAGATATTCTGCAAAGATCATCAATTAAACCCGCATGCTGTGAGGACATGTGAGCATGTGGGGTATGCATGCAGTAATGTACTTTCTACTCAGAGAGTTGCGTATAGGAGACACTGTGCTCCGAGGAGTAATTCAGTTGTTGTACCAGCAAGACTTTGAGCTGGAGAGGAGGGATTGGCAGTGACTGCTGACTTCCATCTTTTATTGTCCTTTATTGCTAAAGTCACTTCTACAGTGAATTTTTGGAAATGCGCAAAATAATTTTGCTCAATCTACGTTTTCTAAAGTTTTGTCTTTTGTAATCTCAAAACGGGAGCCACTTTATATGTTGATTTTGTTCCCGGTTGCTGCTATAATGAGGTGGTAGTCACAATGATGTAGAGCTTATCCAGTGAGTAGCTGAACCATACAGACCAGGAAGGTTCCACATTTGATCTTGGATCTGCACAGTGTTAGCTAATCTCAGCTGGAGAAAAGATGTAACAGTAGAAAATGTGCTACTACTGTCCTCAGTTCCCTGGGTTAGAATGAGATGACAGCATTTTAAATTCCTGATCCCTTAAAAGTATCTAGTAATTCCTCTTGAAGCTGTGCATATAGAAGTCACATTCATTGCAAACAAGTGTGGTTGGTAGTAGTTTTCTTCTACTTGCCTTAGACTGTTGAATTCAGTTGATCTGTATCCATTTTTGAAGGGGTTGAAAAGTGTATGGGGAAAAAGTAGTTTTATCACTTCCACAAAACCAGCATAAAATAATGGGGAACTGGCCGACTGCAAAGGCTAAAATAAGAGTTTGTTTTCTAATCTGGATATTGATAATCCTTACATTTGATATACCTCCTTGTTTTGGCATCAAAAGATTTCCCGAGTGCTTCACAGGATTTATTGTAAACATGTAGTAAATGTATTTATAACTGAACGTAGTTGCCAGTTTGCCCACAGCAATATTGAGGAAGCAATGCTATTAAGTGACTCAGTTTCCTAAATGGAAAAAACTGACCACAGTTTTATAGGAAGGTGGTTTGATTGTTTTGAGTTTGATGCTGTGAGGGTGTCAAGTGTTGTGCCAAAGCAACTTATGAAGCAGTTACATCGCAGTCTAACTGGCACAGTTCTAGGGGGACGAAAGCAGTGAGACTTCTCACTTGCCATCATTACCCCTGCTCGCGCTTACTCTCATGCAAACATGGAGCACAGCTCAGTGCTTAAACGCTTACTGCTCTTTTTAATCCTAATAAATAGGAGCATAGCAAACTATCAGTATAAAAATACTCACTTCAAAAAGTGGCCTTCAAAACTGGTACGTAGCAAAACATTGAACAGTTTTTAGAGATTATATCCCTTGCACAATACCATCCCACTGTAACCTTTTGGTACCACCGATGATGCCAAAATTGCAACATTGGAGGCAGTTGCCATAAAGTGACCTATTCTGTGATGTTGATGTTCTGGACTCTGATGTTTGATTCTAAAAGCACAAGTGCCTTTGTACTTTGAGTGCCCGGTTGTGGGTTTTATTTCTATTAGCAGTTGCCCTAAATTGAGACATTTTGCTAAGGAGAGGCTGTTTTATATTGCGCAGATCAATAGGAAGCACTGTGATTACAGTAAGCTAGAAATGGTATAGAACTATCTGTGTTTGCAATTAAGCTCGCTATATATTAGTGAAATAATATGATAGTCTTAACCTGCCAAAGAATATCAGATCCAATTCTAATTTCCAAAGCAATGCCAGACCCAGGAAGCTATGTACCACAAATCAATTAATTAATGTTTTACTGCAAAATATTCTCATTTACATCAGAATAATGTTCGATCTGATAATACGGGGTCTCCATTTTAATTCCGTCCTTCATTCACTAGCTTTGAGGCTAAGCAATTGCTGCGAAACCTTAATTAATGCAAGCAATCTGCATTCTCCCCATCTCCCTCCGATTGATTTAAATTGGCGTAAAATGAAGCTCGCACTTCATCTGCTACCAAAATGCTACCTGTGGACTTGTATTGAATGAATCCGAAATGCCATGGTTAAACAAAGGAGTTATTTACATTAAGAACTTGTCCATAAATAAACTGCACATGACAGTACCACCAATTTTGTGTGTGTGTGTGAGATTGGGGGGGGTGGGGGTGGGGCTGGGAAATGTAGTGGATCCTAAGTTGTGGAGGTGAGTGGTAGGCACATTGTAGAGTAGAAACACTGAGTTGGGGAGGGGAGTGGATGCTGAGTTGGGGAAGAGTAAGCTTTGAGAGGAGGAAGTGGGAACTGAGTGTTGGGTTGGGGAGTATAGTCACCAGTGAGAAATAGAAAATACTTATATTTGTGTATGATGTCCCGGTAAAATTTTAAGAAAGATAATTGGGGCATGGATAATTGAGGTTGTGCTCACTTTCGTATGAGCACTTCAGCAAACCATTACATTTAGTTGTTGGAAGAAGTGTAATTCACTTTATTTTTAAAAAAAAAGCTTTAATGTATAATTTTGACTTAAAAATACATTGCTATGCATTTGCTGCTATTATTTCATTGGTTCATTATCTTTTACGATACATAGGTTTACATAGGTTTACAATTTGTGGCATATATTAAGCCTGTTTTGAGGGCTTCCATATCAGGCATTTTAAATTTGCTTGCTATTGCATCACTTTCTATTTTGCTAAAGTAATAGTTGCTCTTATGGTAATATATCTACAAAGCTATCTATTGCTTTGTTTATACTACATTCCAGACATGATTAACCTTGTGCTGTTAGTTATCTACATACTTTGTTGGAATCCTTTGTAACTGTGAATGCCATTTTGTAAAAAAAAGTTGCTCTATACTTTGAAAATCAAATTATTGATGTGTTTTTTTTATTGACAGCATATTTATTTTTATTTGCTGTTGAAACACACCCGTCTTTGTGTTTAAAATGTGTATAGTTTTTGATCATCCATAAACCTAAAATGCCTAGATTGTGTCCCAAAGCCATGAGCACAGAGTTTGCTCGGCTGTATGAATGATTTTATTTGGAAATCAATGTTGGCTATAAGTTACCGAGAATGATGAACCAAAGTGTCAAAGATCTTTTGCGTGTTAATTATTTTGTCATTGTACAATGCTGCCTATTTTCTGCAAGTATATAAATCTACCATGCCAGTATGTATTGTGATATAGTAAAAGGAATTTTACACGTAAAAGTCTATGAATGGAATTTTCTGTATGTTGGCATAATTGTATTTCAGATTGATGTTTTGGGATATATTGGAGTTTGCAAATGTGTACAATAATCAATCATGTGTGTTTGTAACATGGCAAGTGCATTGTAGTTCACACTTCTTGTTTACATCTCTGTATCTGTATTGTTTAAGACTTCATTCATCCAAATTTGTGAGAAAATATCTTCTCTGAAGTGGAATTCTTCAAATTATTTACACAAAGAGAAACAAAATCTTTCCAGTGTGTTTTAAAATACTGGCTTTTATCCAAATTTCAGAAATGTAAAACTTATGCAATAAAAATATTATTCCAGGTTTAGAAGTTTGTTTGTGTGAAACTTCCTTGCCATGAACAGCGATGTGGTGGAACCTACCTACTCACACACCCACACACGCACTGATCCACTTGTTTTAAAAACATCTTTCCTTGAAGCAGACTTGTGTGGAGTATCAACACTGGCACAGACTAGGTGAGCTGCTTGTTTTTGTGCATTACAAATCTATGGCAGAATCAAGGCATATATTTTATCACGTTAAATGCATTCGTGGCTTATCAGAAACCAACTGTCTGTCAAAATATTAAGGAATATGAAGAAAAGCCAGGAAAATGGAACTGAAGCCTCACTATAAAATTG